TTTTTTTTCGATATTTGTGAACGTTTGTGAACATTTGAATAAGAAAATATCGTCAGTTACACCGAATGTTATTTAATGTTTGTATTTGATTGACTTCGGGATCTACAACATTTCGACAAAATAACCTTGAGTTAGTTAGAGTGAGTTTTGTGTTGACGATTTTTATTGCGCAGCAAGTGTGAAGAAATTCCAACTTGTTTTTCTCATTTCTGAAAAATATTATTATAATCTAGGGGTTGTACACCGTTTGAAAATGAAGAATATACAGCAAATCCACGATTCTGGCTATTGGCTATTATTACAATTCTCACTATTCCGATGATTCCCAAAAATTCAATGATCTGGTTTATATTCTGGTTGTACAGTATATACACAACGATAGCATTTAATTTGAATCTAAAACATTGAAATTCAATATTTTTTGTAATTTTGAATTGCCTTCGAACGAACGAACGAGTGTTCGTAGATGTTTGCAGCCAACACGAGTTCGAGTCATGTTATTGTTGTATTATATATATGTTTACGTGGAAATTGCTGGAATTCTTGAATTAAAAAACAAGTAGATGTAAGACATTTTTTTGCTATATATATATCGCCCTTTCAATAAATGTTTTATCAGTTTTTGAAATTGGTTTGAATTACTAAAAATTATTTTCCAAACATTTTTTCAAGTTTAAATTATTAAGTGTGAAAATGTTTAGGCAAAAAAGTGTCATCTTGATATTCTTCGGAATTTTCGCCTTCACTACAATAGAAGCTGTAAAAAAAAAAGGCAAAGAAATAGCCGAAAGTTCATACGACCCGAATAAAATTTGGCGCATCTTTACCGCAAAAGATGTAGATAATGAGAAAGAGGTTGAATATCGAATTCAAAACATACCCGATACACAATTTGATACTGTGGTGGATTTTATGATGAGCCACTATTTCAATACCGAACCAATTTATAAGGGAAAAGGTGCGTAATGTTCCTTTGTTTTCTTTTTTTTTTGTGTTCTTCTCATATAACTCTATAAAAATCGTTAGGTATAAGAGGAGGTGAAGAACATATAGAAAGTTGGCTGGAAGATTTAAGAGCAAATATGTCCGTTGCCTGCTATAATCATTTAAATGAGTTGGTTGGTGTTCTCATATTGGTTATGGAAGAGCAGAAAAAACCATCAAAAGGAGAAAAAATATTAGAAAAATTCAAATCAGAAAAAGAAAAATCAAAATCAAAAGCAACTCAAGAAGTAACTTTAAATCGATATTTAATTAATTATTAATAATCTAATTATTTTTTTGTTTATTCTATAATCAAATATGGCAAGACATCGAAGCAACACGAATTTTTTATTGATGCATATAATGTGTATAAGGAATACGAGGTTGACAGATTCTTGACGGATGACGGTTTGATAGTCGCACCTTTATATCGCGACAAAGGCATAGAAAAGGAGCTTCTCGAAGTTATAAAACCAATTTGTATGGCGCATGGTATAGAAGTATACACAGGTATTTTTACATCAGATCCTATGAATGAACTGGCCGATAAACTTGGATTTAAGATCAAAAAACAAATTGGGTAAATTTTAGAATGAATGGAGTTGTTTTTTTTACTAATCAATTAAAACTATTTTCAGTTTAAAGAAGAAGAAAATAAACGCCAAGCTTATGACTATAAGGTCAATCAAATACAAACATTAAATAACATTCGGTGTAACTGACGATATTTTCTTATTCCAATGTTCACAAACGTTCACAAATATCGAAAAAAAATTGTTCAATAAA